GGGGCAGTTTTGCTTCACAGGGCAAGGATTTCAGTGTCTGAATGTTTTAAGTCAACACATTAGGAGCATTTCTGAAATTCTGAAAATCGGGGGAATGGAAAGTTCCATCAGAAATGATAGACTCATGGTACATTACTTTTTATGTTGGCTTTTCTGGTCAATAAGTAAGTGTTCTTGTAGATAACAGTTGATGTTGTTTGTCCAAGTAGTGTAACAGGTAGAAATACTGTTTTATGAACTTCTTACACAGTATTGTCAGGAGGGTAACTTGGATTTGACCTGGTAGGAGTCAAATTTACTGGCTGGTGCATCTCTTGCTATGTCTCTGACTGGGCTAATAGCCCAGCAGTAGTGCCTGCGTTTATAAGACAGTATCTGAGGCTAGGGACGAAGCAAGCTCACTGAGGGCTAGGAAGGAAGGACCCTAGTCCTGAGCAAGGTTCCCTGGCCTTCCCTGGGCTCCATAGGGGGAGGCTGGGGCCAGGGCTCTGAAAGGCGTTTTGTTCACTGTTCTGCTTTTTCTCTCACTGTCAGCAGAAAAAACGTTCTGGGAGATTTGTGTTGAAATGGAGTATAGATCCCAAGGCAGAGTAATGTGGAAAATAAGGGATGAAGGGCTTTCTTGTAACCTCCGCTTACCGAAGTATGCTGGGAACAGGAAGAGCCTGGAGCGCCAGATTGCTTACCCCCCTGTTTCTCAGTCAGTGCTAAGAGGAAGCCCTGCGAGAAGGGCACCTACCAGAGAAATCCTACACAGAGAATTAACCAGCAAGTACAAGTATGTCGTTCAGTGCTATGCAGGGCTTCCTGACATGCTACTGAGGTCCAAAAATCGGGCAGCTCCAATTGGTCATAGCGTTTAAACTGCCCTACAAAGAAAATGGCATTGCCAAAATTCAAGGTGTTTCTGTCTCTAACATACCACAGTATCACACACAGGGTTGCACTTAAATTCTCTTGATGACACGTTGGGAAACTGCCACAGTCTATTTCTACTCTTATTGTTCATTGGGATAAGATTTTTTTCCTCTACTTCTCTATATCCTTAATAACGTATTGCTGCAGAGATTCCAGAACTGCGTGGTCCAACCTATTCCCTTAGCATAGTGTGTTTTAAAAAATAAACACAAAAAAATAATACTTGTTATATAACTCCAATCAGAAAGTTTTTTTGTCCAGACATGCTGAGAGCAGGTTTCAGATCAGAGTAAGCTCATGGTATACTGAGTGCCAAATCTAGACTTAAATAGAGCTGAGAGCCAGAAATTGGATTGACATTTGCTGTCCTCTGGGTACAGGCTTCTGGCTTGCTGGCAACGCAGATGGAGAAACACCAGAGTTGCCATACTGGTCCCATTAGTCCAGTGTCTGTACCACTGACCGTGGTCAGTAACAAACGTCTTACAGGAAAGTACATTAAATCTGTGCTCCTCACTTATGGGATAAATTTTCTGCCCCACAGAAAATCTCTTTAATCTCCCCATTCCGCTTCCTTAGATAAAGCTTGGCTGGAAGCCTGAAGCATGAAGTTTTACAGCTTTTCCAAAACTATTTCTTTTCTTCCAATGTAAATTGTCTCTGGTGGTGGTTTTTCTTATTTATGTGACTATCCCATATTCTTTTTAACTCTTCTATGCTCTTTGCCTCCAAGTGTTGTCATAATGAGTTGAACAGACTAAATAATGATGATAACTATAACATAATGTGAACTGGTTTGAAATATGTCCGCTTTTCATTTTTCCTAGGCAAGCTTGGGGGAAGTTTGCCCAACCACTGCTCAGGTGCAGCTGTTCTGCCATACTTGGAACATCTGGTCTTCTGGTACCATATGGCTACAACCTACCATCCTCCTAGAAGTAATCAAGTACACTTAATGTCATAAAACCCCACAACAGCAAAACAATGCCTCGTAATCCACCAGGAATGCTCCACGCCACCTCAGGGCAAGTGCCTTTTAACGGCTTTTTGCTCTGAGTTTGATCAGGTTCCAGACTCTTTTAGACTGAGAACACCATAAATGTTGGAAATGAGGTACTCAATTTCAGGAAAAATACAAAAGCCAGACCGAGTAGTTCTGTGAAGTAGAAATAGAGTTGTTACACTATGAGAGATAGCAAGACTGCCTTAATAGATGGCATTCAAGTGCAGCTGTTTATGGGTCTTAACTGGTGTTGGCCCACGAATCGCATACTTAGAAAGGAAATCGGGGAAAGCTAACACATGCCTGGGGGCTTTGAAGTTGTTATTATCATCCACATGCATAAGAACAGGAGATCCTCTCTAGTCCAGCAAGTACTGAGAAATGAATGAGTTTGACTGGCTCGTACATCAAAGGTCTTCACTTGTAATTTGCTTAAGAGATTAAAAATGAAATATGAGGGAATTATTGAGGAAGAGCAAGCTGCTGTTTTTTCCCCCTTGCAGCAGGAAAGAAGAACAATTGAGCATCTATTCTGTCTGAAAGTGATTACTGAAAAGCTTTCTGACAACCTTGAGCAAAACAGCAGTTGCATCTTAGTTTCACTGACATCAAATAAGCATTTGATTTACTGAGACCCAATTGGACCTCTCCAGTGCCAAGGACTGTCTGAGAAGCAAACAAACTCGATAAAGCTCTGTCTTCACAGAACCACAATCTCTAAAGCAATGCATTGCCAGACCATGAAATGTGCTCTGCATTTTAGCTACTAGAAATGTTTTGCTTCAGAAATAAACTAATAAAACCTAGTGACAAACACTTGAAGCTTTCTACTGTTCCCTTTCTTGTCAAACATGATTTTTACTGAGGTTCTTCAAGAGACTGAGTAACTACTAGGAAGGAGACAGTGTTGTCAAGTTATTAAGCCATAGTTGGACTGGAAGATATGAAGGCTGGATAACAGTGATCATCTGGGAGAAAACTGACAATGCTTTGAGGTGGAAGGAGGGACGAAGTGGCTTCCTGGAGCAGCTTAAAGTAGGAATGCAATGTGGAAAACTCTTATTTTAGGCTTTTGAGGAAAAATTGTGATAAGTTGTTTGAAAAGGATCCAGAGATGTTGGCAGAGGTCTAGATCATGTAAGTCTTCTCATCCCATGTCCCTTGCTGTTGCCAAGTCAGAGATTCTGTGGAATGACTTGAAGCTTCTGAATCAAGATTAAAAAAAAAAAAAAAAAAAAAAAGCCTGGTCTATTTTGTAGCTGACAAAGGAATTGATGGATATTAATCTACAACCTATGTGACCCCAAATGGAAAATGCTGAATGCAGATAATTTCTGTGTTCACTTTGATAGTTTCTTTGATAGTATAAAACTTGTCATATTTGTTGACTGTGTATCCAGCATGTGCTTTATCATCTTTTCTCCCCTTCACCACAAACTCTTATTCAGTATTCTTGGTCCACATCATCTCATTTAGGTTGAGATTTTACCTGCCCTTTTATGTTCCAAATGGCTAGTCCTAAAAAAAAAGAAATTCTGACTAACTTCCTTGTATGTAGAGCAGATCATCAGTCCAGCTCCTTTATTGTTTTGGATCACTGAGGCAGAAGACAGGAGAGAGTAACAAATGGGTGTGTGTTTCCCAGCCGAATTAATCAACTGCATTTATGAGCATTGCTGCTCTTAATTTTCATGCGGTGTTGAAATAGTTGCTTTTTGTGAAACCAGCCAGTTTCTCCCATACCTTTCAACCCATCCATATAAACACACTAGCAGTGAGGATTTTAAGGAAAGCTTTTAGCTTGACCCATTGCTTTTCCATTAAGATTCCAAAGCACCTGCACTTAGAATCATAGAATGGTTAGGGCTGGAAGGGACCTTCAAAGGTCATCTAGTCCAACCCCCCTGCAAGGAACAGGGATATCTCCAACTAGATCAGGTTGCTCAGGGCCTCGTCCAACCTGGCCTTGAATGTCTCCAGGGATGGAGCATCCACGACCTCTCTGGGCAACCTGTTCCAGTGTTCTACCACTCTCATGGTAAAAAATTTTTTCCTAATATCCAACCTGAATCTACCTCCCTCTATTTTAAAACCATTACCCCTTGTCCTATCACAACAGGCCCTCCTGAACAGCCTCTCCCCATCTTTCCTGTAGGCCCCCTTGAGGTACTGGAAGACCGCTATAAGGTCCCCCCGGAGCCTCCTCTTCTCCAGGCTGAACAGCCCCAACTCTTTCAGCCTGTCCTCATAGGAAAGGTGCTCCAGCCCTCTTATCATCTTCGTGGCCCTCCTCTGGACCCTCTCCAACTGGTCCATGTCCTTCTTATGTTGGGGGCTCCAGAACTGGACGCAATACTCCAGGTGAGGTCTCACGAGGGCAGAGTAGAGGGGGAAGAATCACCTCTCTCGACCTGCTGGCCACGCTCCTCTTGATGCAGCCCAGGACGCGGTTGGCCTTCTGGGCCGCAAGAGCACATTGCCGGCTCATATTGAGCTTCTCGTCCACCAGTACTCCCAAGTCCTTCTCCTCAGGGCTGCTCTTGATCCATTCTCCACCCAGTCTGTATTTGTGCCTGGGCACAAATGTGAAATTCTCTAATGTGAAGAATTATAGTCCTCCTCTTCCTTCTAGAGTGAGGAAAATCAGTTTATTCCTACTACCTTCAGGTTTGTTTGTTTATTTTTGGGCTTATTTATCCTGCCAGTTTTTTGACCCCTGGAATGCCTTCTAGCAATTAATTCTGCAGGTTAATCATGTGTTGCATAAAATAATTCAGCTTGTCTGCTAAAAGTGTGTTGCCATTTAGTTTTATTAGTTGTCCTTTAGTTTTCATATAATGAGGCAGACAAAATAGGAATGCCTGACTGACTTTCTCAATGTAATTCATCTATTGCACCTGGGAAGCTCATCAGGGGACTTAAAAAAAACACGGAATTCACCCTTGCAAGAAAAATTACTTTGTTAACCCTGTAAGTTTCCACTTTGGTTTTTAAATTTCCTGAATACAAAGTGACATTTTCAAAAGCTTTAAAAATCGTGCGTACATGTGGGTCAGTTTTGTTTGCGACAAGCTCTTACCTGACAAGCGGTTGTAGCTGAACCACCAGTAAGTTGGGTTTAGACGTATTCACTTCCAGCTGAGAGACACTAAGATTTGTTGTGTTTATTAACTTCCAATCTCTCGACTCCTGAAGAAAGCTCAGAAGCTGCCTGGTAGCTTCGCAATCAACAGCTGGCAGAACTAAAGATGAAGGAGAAGACTGAAGAATTTCCTGTAATAAATTTATGGACAGTTTGTTTATTTGCTTAATAATTAAACACAAACTTTTTTTAATGTATCCTTAATTTAATCTTAAAGGTGAGGAACCACTACGGTGAACACTATGTGAGTTCTCACCAGCCTGATGTCAATTGCAGGCTGTTCCTGGAAAGGGGCAGTGAAGGGGCACTCACATCCATCTTATTCCTGCATCTTCTTCGAGCAAGATAAGGCACTCAGTGACATTAAATTCTTACTGTCCTTTCCACACGTGTGGTGGAAGAGGAGAGACAGATGATGTAGAAGTTCTCAAGCTGAGAAAAGTGGAGAATGTATTGGAGAGTTTGTGGAGAAAGAAGAGACGGGTTATGAACATCCACCAGAAGCGAAGCTCATCAGATGATCATTTAACTAAACGCCCTTGGAGGTGAGAAGGATCGACACCTCAAGTTGCAGCACCTCTATTCTATTCAGTACAGAGTCATACTTCACATCATAAACATCGTTTCTTCGTGTACATCCTGGTGGCACAGCACGGGGTACAGATAAGTGTCTAATTTGTAGCTATTAATTAAAGCAAGCTACATGTCAGGATCTACAGAGCCTTCAGACACACACAAACAAAATTATATCATGTACTTTCTGTCTTTCTACTCAAAATACAAATTACAAAGCTCAGGCTCAACTGGTTCAGATAATCAAGCATCAGGGTATCTATCACTTTATTTATTATTCTCATAGCTCAGTTTCTCATGAAAATACTTAAGTGAAATGAATTTTAAAACATCCTCATTCTACAAATTTGAAACCTGCATATTTGAAAAACATCTTTCCAAAGATTTTTATTGGTAAAAAAATTAACTTGAAACATTCAGGGAAAGAAAATGCAAGATGGAGACTTGAGAATTATCAAAATTTAATGTGAATATGAGAAGATAATTTTTCATTGAGCCTTAATTTACAACTTGTTAACTTTGCTTTCTCATTTTAAACGTGTAAGTCTAGATTGAGTCTGTCACTTGATCCGACATTCAGATATTCAAGTTGTTATAGACTCCCTCTCCTCCTCTAACTGATGCAAGTGTTGTGGTGTTGCTAACACTTTTCTCCTCCTACTCTTTTTCCTTTTTGTCTGTTCTCCGACTGCCTACCACTTTTCTGACCTGCTCTGGTTCTTTCTAATTGCTCACATGTTTTCCTTCCTAGGCAAAGGCTAGTTATTTTCACATTTCTATAGTTGCTCGTAAGAGAGGATTATGCAGTATTGTCTGATTTGCCAGAGTGATAGAAAAATTACTACAGAAATTAAAATAGAGCAGAAAACACTGATGTGGCTCACAGGTCTTTGAGTAGGGTATTTAGCACCACTTGGAAGGAAAGCATAATACGTTTCATTTTGGTTTGTTTGTATATATGCATTTAGAGCTAAAATTCTGAGCAATAATAAATTATTTTATTTTATTTTTGATATTTTAATCCCTTGCCCCCTAACAGCAGTCAGAATCGCAGCAGTCAGTTCCTCCAAGGATATATATTAAACAGATTACTCATTTATTGTAGAATAAGATATAAAACACATCATTACTGAGAAACATCAGAATTGTGCCTCTGCTCCTAACCAATCCTGCACTGCCATCTGTCTCAGCTTCCAGCCTCTGATATTCAACTGTTTTCCATCTGAAGGGCAGACACAGCTGGATATCTACTCATTAGCCTCAGATAGCCATTCTGATCCCATGCCTCTTGCTTGCCCTTCTTGACATTTGGCCACTGCACATTTGTCTTTACGATACCCATATGTTGCTTTACACATTTAAGGATTTGAACTACCATCCATGTTCAAAACCCCAGAACTCCAAAAGAGGGTGGAGAATGAAGAGGACCACTGAGAAACACCTAGTTTTGCATTCTGCTAAAGGACTAAACAAAGAGGTACAACCACACAGTAGCTAAGAGAGGGAAAGCGGAAGGGAAAAGGAGAGGGAAGAAAACCTGTTGAGTTGTTGGACTGATAGCAGAACTTCCTAAATTAAATACCAGAATCTATAACCTGTCTATGGGCAGCTTACTCTGATTATGCCTACATTTACCTTCTTTAGAGTCCCCTGAAGAACCTCTCCTGAGTGAAATATAACTAGAAACTTCACTCTTGGATTACATATATAGCTGTTCTACTTTTTTTGAAGGTAGGTGTGGAATGGCTCTGTCCACATTTCTAGCCATTCTGAAGCCAAGTATTGTACTATGATGAAGCTGTGCTTGGACTTACTTGCCCAGCTCTGGTTTCAGTGTTACGTTAACTGTATTGATATTGCATTCAAGCAACTTGAAGTTGGAATGGAGTAAATTTAGGTCTATCATTAAAAACCTATTGTTAAAATCTTTGTTAGAGTCATGTATCCATCTATAAAAGATCATGTAGGCACACTCATTGTTCTGAACCAGTTCATATTTGGCATCAAAGTTGATAGACAGTCCTATAATTAAAATATTGGTTAGGAAAAAGGCTTCTATGTTGGTTCTGGAAATACCTGGGAATCTACACCTGAAATAGGCAGGCCATGTAATAGAGATCTTTTAAATCTTCATCTTCTGCCTGTGAGTACGTCATTTGAAATATTAAAGTATTATATTTATTTTCTACAGCATTGTTCAATAAGTAATCTCTAAAAACCAAAAATCTTTTCAAACAGATTTGGAAGCACATCTGTTTCTACACAGTGATAATTGCAAAGACAATTATCATTGTTGCATTTTAACTTCCCAGTTATTATTAATCTTACAGACTTTTACACTGTACTTGTGTTCTCCAAATACGTGCATGAAGCAACATGTTATGATTTTAATGAAAATTGATCTGATATAGTCCAGCTGATAAAATATGTTGCAGCTACAGAAAGTATTGTTGAACAAACCTCCATTCCAGTATACTGTATGGTGGAAAACATGACACTAGATTTTTTTTCGAGGGTTACAGACAGATCCAAGGAACTACAGAGAAGCAAACTTGAAGTCTAAGAATGGGAGGAACTATTCCAAAGAACAAAATACAGACTATAACAACAAGGAAGGATTATACTGGGGAAAAAGCCGACATGGCTTTTGCAAAAAGAAATTGTGCCTCATAATTCTGCTGAAAATCTCTGAAGGAGTCAGTAGACATGCACACCAGGCAGCTCTAGCTGATGCAGTGAACAAATGGCACTCGGCAGAGTCTTGAAGCAAAGATTCCTAAAGAAACTAAACTGCTTTAGCGTGAGAGAGGCAGTCTTCACATGGAGGTAGGCAAAGGGTAGGTAAAGAATAGCTCAAAGAGATAACAAGCAAGGGGTAGAAAAATGTATATGTTGCTGCACTAAGGTCTATTTCGTTCCATGTGTTCATAAATTATCTGGTAAAAAGGGAAAAAAATATCGAGCTAATGAAATATGCTGATTATGCTGAATTATTCAAGATGGTAAAGGCAAGGGCTGACTGATGAATTGCAGAAAAAACTTTTGGTACAACCTCTTGGGCAATAAAGTAGCTGATGAGCTTCAATGTAAATTGATTTTAGTGAAGCACAGCATGAGAAAAAAAACAGCACTAATTTTATGTACACAATAGATAATAGAGTCAGAACTGAGTGTTATCCTTCAGTAATGAAACATTAAGAGGCACAACAGCTCTTTGAAAATGTCAATTCAGTGTCTGATAGTGATCAGAATTAAAATTCAAATAGTAGTTTTTTGGAAAAGACTAGGGAACTAAACATCATCATGTCACTGAATAAATCCATGATGAACTTATATCTTGATTAATATGCAGTTCTGCATGCCCCCCTGTCAAAAAAAAAAATTATAATGAACCTAAAAGAGGTGAAGAGAAAGGAAACAAAGACAATCAAAACTATAGTAGTACCTCTATCACACATGACTAAAGAGTACTCCTCAGTCTATGACCACTGAGTGAGGATACGATGGAGAGATAGAACCACGACTGGCAATGACTTACAATAATAATTATGTAGCTGCACAGCAGCCACTAATTGGAGTGTGTCACCACACACTGCACTTCTAAGGAGCTAAACATTGTTTGGGAAAAGCCAAAGCTAATATTAAAGAAAAATAGTTTGTAGGGTAGGTGACTGCTTGACAAAAAAGTTCCCCAAGTGCTAATCTTTGTATTTTATTATTTAATTAAAAAGTTCTTTGAATGTTTAAGATAAATGATCTACCTATAAAATTCCTTTTGTATTAACTGGAAATGGAATCTTTTATTGCATACAAACCCATTGATCCCAAAAGCTCAAAACAGCTGATAATGTAGCTGAACAAATCTAATATCTGCAAATGTCTCTGTGGTTTACAAGCCTATAACTCTTTTACAAATAACACTTCCTTCTTGTAGTACACATGCTGCTACATGCACATATACATTCTAAATGAGATCTCCAGTTTAGGTTTGTGAATAAATTTGCATTTGTGAAGTTCAAAAGGAGGATACTCGAGTGACATGGAACATCTATTATAGCTTAATGAATCACTTGTATAATATAGAGCGTGAAGGTATAAAAATTTGTGATTATGCAACATCAAAGACTCAGATTTCCCCAGTGAGAAAAGTCAGACCTGACCTTCACTTTGTCCTGTGTTCTGTGAATATTATGACAGAATCTTTCATAAGATGTTTAAGTGGAGTGCAACTGAGGCAATAGCAACTGAACAAATTTTTGTAGCCTCTGTTACTTCCAAAATGAAACTAGATGATTACAAAGATCTTTTCTGGCCCTAAAAGCTACAAGACTATGCAACAGATATTGACGAAATTCTCCATATGGACACCCAGGTGAAAAAGAAATATTTAATTTATACATCTCATTTTATTTCACTGAAGTTACAGCACCTCACCCCCACAGAACTATGCTAGAAAAGTATTAAGATTGCCAAGTCCAACAGAACAAATCTAAGAAGCACTGGAGTTAAGGTGAGCAATTTTTCAAAAGAAACTTTCCAATTTTAAAGAAGCTACAATGAGAAAAATTTTGGCAGTTCCAAGACAGAAAGGGAACAGAGGTAAGGTCAGAAAGCAAATAAACTGTTACTGATGTTTATTCAGCTTGTTGAAAACCTGGGTTTAAATCTTTGCCTGGCCAGATACAGTCCAAAGATTTACTTAAAGTGATCCTTTGTTTAGCTGAGGACCTTCTCCCTAGCCTCAGTAAGTCCCCAACCCATTCATTATACCACCTGATTTCTAAACCCATCAGTCTCCGGACTCATCTCTACCCTTTGGCTATAAGCTCTATCTACAGTGCTGATGGAGTCCTGATTACAAGGCAAAAGAAGGAAGTTTGAAATACTTGAATATCCCTCCTTTTAAACATCCAGGGCCTACTTAAATAAGACCACCACATCATTAGGAGCTTGCAGTGCCATGTGTACATTTCACACAGCTTCTGAAACCAAACCAGTTTTGCAGTGAGGCAGCAACCAAATTTGCTCCAGACACAGCCTTGCGTAGATATTAAACCCAGAGAAAATAAGTCATAGCAGAGAAGTACCAGTACATCTGCCTGTGGACACAGCCGCGGATCCTTACACTAGAAATGAGTGTTATTCCCATTCATTCCTCAGAAAACCCACGTACTGAATAGTCATTTTTGTTCCATCATCAGCGTTGAAATGCTGTTATATGACAAAGAGATGAAGATCTCCAGTATCAGTGAAACGAGGAAGATGAGAGCTTCTAGACAGTATAAATGTAGAGACTGGTAACATGTGAATATTTATGTATTTAATTACACATCCAGCTTGCTGTGTGGTGCTTGGGAATTTACGCTTTCTCATGTGCTCTGATACCAGTTACATTACCAATAGCTCTGTTCCTCCTCCACTGCCTGCAGGAATGTCTTCCTGACTTCCATGGGTGAACACTTCCTTTCTTCAATCACGGTTCAGTAAACTGTCAGGTAAGTACAACCATAGAGGCTGTGCACAAAATTAGTAAACCTGTCCAGTGAGGACAGAAGGTGAAGTTGCTGACTGGCTCAGGAGGGCTCTATCATAGATTCTGTGCCTGAAGTTTATTTCTAACTACTCAAGTAGCATGACTTTTTTCATGAAGATTAAAGCAATCCTTTATCTAGTCATATATTAACTACGTTCAAATATGAAACAGTTAATTCCCTACATGAGCATAAATTTCTATGAAAATAAAATGGGTGTTCAATTCTGAAAATCAGGAATAAATAATTGATTCCTATAACTTCTTTTCTTCCTGTGGCTTCAAAATAGAATGTTGGGGTGTCAGTCTTGAAGTTTATACTTTTTTTATGATACAAAATTGCAGCATGTTTAGGAACAATTTTATCAGTTACAGTGAATTCTGAAAATTTTATCTTCAGAAATAAAATAGCTACAAAACACACTTCTACAAACTCAGTTGATTTCTTTTAACCCATCTGCTTAAACTGGAATAATATCAATAAATAATTTAAATAGGAAAACTGCTGCAATTCAGTTTAATTTTCCCAATTATTGTCTGTTTGCATCTTTCTTATATCTTTTTTACGTTTTAAATACAACATATAAAGAAGTAAAAGAGATAAATGCTTGCCTGAACATTTTGAAATGGATTCTCGTTACCGTAGGATTCACTGAGGTATGTGAAATCATCTACGCTAAGCTGAAAAACAAAGAGCAGATTGGTGAGAAGGAGCCACAGCATCTCATTTAGGCACAGACTTGTACTCGGCATTGGTAAGAGAAAAGGAATTGATGTTACATACCGTATCTTGCAGGAACAAGATGAGATTTCTGGAATTTTGGGTAAAAGCAGGTTGCAAGAGTGTGGTCAGCTCCTGTGCTGAGACGATGTGTCCTTCATGCAAAGCAGTGTCTGGATTCCACTGTGATCTATAAAGAAATTTAATTTTTTTTCTGTAAAATTTGCCATCAATGACGCCACCTCTTCTTTCTTTAAATACGTAGCAACAGGAAATGATAGCATTGTCTTTGGATTAAGATCAGGTTTACAGTTCAGTTTGCATTCATTCTGCTGAAGAGGCAAAGAACTTGTCTGTTTATGCCCATGTCACATTAACTGTGCTACAGTAGAAATTCAATCAGTCCAATCAAGATAACTGTCTCTCCCTACTTTCTTGTTTGTGTACAACAACACAGTTGCATCTTTCAAAAAAAAATTAGCTACTAATTGGAATGAAGAAGAATATGCTGAAAACCTTCAGAGAGAATTCCCAGAAGGAATCCAAACTCCCAAAACACTTTTCAGTGCCATCAGACGTCTTGGTGGCCAGAAAGGAGTAGAACTCAGGCCAGACCACAAATTCTCATAAATCAATATTTTTCCACAAACTTTTTGTTAAGTAAAAGTGGCTTATCAGTGTTACTGTAAACAATATGTTCTCTCCTAAGGTTTTCATGAAGAAGGAACCACTCTGCAGAAGCAGCTCAGAAAAGCCACCTTTCCAGAAGCAGGAGTTCTGAACAGAACAGCCCAAGACACCAAGAAAAGTTTATGATTCTTTTGCCAACCTGTCATTATGAACATTAGACAGAGAAATAACTCATCTGTTTTGTTTTGCTGCTACAAAAAACAGTTATGGACAAAACAAGACGTGGTGGCATTATTCTTTCAGTGCCTAATTGGGATTTTAACAGTATGCAACTTGGGTCTATAATAAGGATGAAATTTATTATGAAAATTTGGGATGTAGGTGTTTTGACTAAGGTAAAATTTTTATTCTGCAGAAAACGCACAGATTGAAGCATAATCACCCATCTTTCCCAAATACACATCAGTTGCTAAAGCCTGAAAATCAGTCATTCCAGCCCCACTAATTGGTTCTAATTACAAAGAATAGAATATAGAGAATTGTTGTGTGCTGTAGCGTTGGCTATTATACAATTGCAATTTGGTGAAGTTGAGATGCTGATTGAATTTTCTAACCCAAAAGCAATTTGAAAATGACCTTTGCACAGCAGACTTTTATGAATGAGAATAATCTTTGCAGTCTTTTAAGACGAAGGCAGAACAGAGGTAACGAAAGTGTGTGGGGGTTCAATGTTGTTTCTTGGATAAGGAAAATCTGTATTTCACTTCAAGATTTCCCAGTAATCCCAATAAAGAATGCCGAAAGTGAATCGAAAGCTTCTAATCGCAGCCACATAAAAACAGTGCAGTCCTGCAGTACTAGACACCTAGCTCACCTCAGATTTGGGGGTTTGGGAGAGTGTTCGAGCATGTGGAAGACTCGTTCAGGACAATGTGCTACAGATGTTAAAATTAAATTCTAGTAGATCTTCTGCCTGTGCTTCTCAAGCTTTAGAAGTAAACCTTGCTGTGCAGGAATGAATTTTTTTCTATTTGGTTGAAATTATAATTTTATATTTTCTTAGTTTTATTCAGTATCTCACTTATTTTCTAATTTGTGCTTTGAAATCCACATTAACTTATATTTATGAAGCCAAACAACTTAGAAATTGTAACAGACATGCCTGAACTTTCCAGAAAAGTCAAACCTCATGATCTCAAATATTTAAGTATAATATTTAAAACTAAGATATTCGAAAACACAAAACTCTCAAAGATTCTGGATGGTTATTCAGGAACTGACTTTCATACTGACTTTATGCATTCCATGACCACACCAAAATACTGATGATATTGAAGGAACTGAAAATAGATTAAATTAAGAGATGTTTAAATATGTCTTATGTGAAAGAAAATGATAGTGAATATTTTGGTATATTTATGCAAAAAGCTAACTAAACCTATTTCACATCTAATATTAGAAAAAAATGAACATTTTGAGAGCTTTTGGGACTTGCAATTAAAAATAAAAGTTACAGAAAACATATGAAACAAAACTAAGTTATTTGCAGCAGCAAAATGGCAAAAAGCTCAGAAATTTAATGATCCTGTTTTAAAGCATACTTGCTTCTAAGGTATTCCCTGTTCCCTGAAGCAGCCCTTGCTAGCCATCTAACCATGAAAAAACACCTTTTGTGAGACCTTTTAGCTTCCAAGCAGTCAACTTTAGATAGTCCAGCATCATCATTAGAAAAATAAATCTACAACAGTTAATTAATAATTCTGTTATAATGCAGCTCTTGCCTAATACTTACATTCACTATATTACACATGTGTTTATTTTGCTTCTTTTGAATAGTTTGCTGAGCACTACGCACAGCAGTAAGCAACGCTACACCTTTCCTTGAATGAGCTGCTACTGTCAGCCGGGTGCAACAATATTCTCACCACAGGTCAGACGGGAAATGCCAGTATGTGTTACCAGCTGGCTTACTGTGAACTGTGTAGTGAAACGGAGAAACGTGACTGCCACAGATAGCGCATCGTGGATACGCTGATGGAGTGCTTTACTGAGCACAACGAACCGCTCCATCCCTTTCAACTCTTCACCTCGAGCGCTCCGCAAGAGATCAGTAAGAGATGGCATAGGATGAAACAGGCAGTAGGCCAACGCATATATTGATTGCTACTATTGATTGCTCACATAGAATTTTATGTCCAAAGATGCACAGCCTTGTGCAGTCATCCGCATGCCGAGAACATCAGACTTAACCTCCTCGCTGTAGAAACGTCCTCAGCTGTGGGGGTTCACAATGAAAAATATCTCTGCGGTCTTCATTGCGTATGTGCTAAAAAGGAGGAAACTTAACACTCAACTGCTCTCTCTTTTCTCCAACAGCCAGACAATGCACTAACAAAAGAGAAGAGAAAAAGCTTAGCTTGGTGTTTTGCATCTTTCTTGTCCCTAACTGCTTTGGCATTAAACAAGTTTAAGCATACAGATTCTTCTCTGTCCAGTGTTCTTTCTGGATAGAACTGGGATTTGAGCACTTATTTCTGATGGAAGCAAAGATGTCAAGATTTCCTGTATCTGGACCCACCAGAAGGGCAGATGGTAAGATCTATATGACCTTATAGCGGTCTTCCAGTACCTCAAGGGGGCCTACAAGAAAGATGGGGAGAGGCTGTTCAGGAGGGCCAGTTGTGATAGGACAAGGGGTAATGGTTTTAAAATAGAGGGAGGTAGATTCAGGTTGGATATTAGGAAAAAATTTTTTTACCATGAGAGTTGTAGAACACTGGAACAGGTTGCCCAGAGAGGTGGTGGATGCTCCATCCCTGGAGACGTTCAAGGCCAGGTTGGATGAGGCCCTGAGCAACCTGATCTAGTTGGAGATATCCCTGTTCCTTGCAGGGGGGTTGGACTAGATGACCTTTGAAGGTCCCTTCCAGCCCTAACGATTCTATGATTCTATGATTCTAAGATACCAGGACTTCTATCACTCAAATTTATGAGGTTACATTTTTGCTTTGTAGCTGCCTTCTGAACTCTTTCCTACAAGTTATTCTTGTCAGTTTTGTCTTTCAGGCACATTGTGATAACCATATAAGAAACAGCATTTTCTCTTGCACGGCAGCAGTAAACTGGCATGCATGCTAGCACACAGGTAACTCCAGAGAAGTCCAATAAAGTTACACCTAAAACATTTCTTGGTTCCACTGTATTCTTTTTATGTTCCACTTTCTTCCAGTAAATTTTTCAGTGAATTCCTTGCAGTCTTAGGAAACACTGCAAATGTACTATTTGGCATTAACGCCTTCTCAAAATCACTTGTAATCTGGATTTGCCAGAAAAGGATTAATTTCCCAAAGTAAGCATAGCATAAATGGAGGTAGTAACATCTTTTCAATGACTGTAGGAAAAAATAATTCCTAAAACAAACACATGAGGGGGCAATAGCAAAAGCTAATTTTAAAGAATTTATTTTCTCAAGCTCCCTCTCTAATCTGTGGAGGGAAATAAATTCTTTTGAATATTTGTTCAAAATGGCCAATTCACGTTTCTGCTGTGTATCGTATGCAAGAGGAACCTCTCCATCTCTCCTGCTTCAAAAAGCAACCAAGGGATATTTGTTTAAAGGCTAATTTAAGATAAAGGTCATTTTTTTCCAGGTCAAAGTTATTTGAAGAATGTTCACTGATATATTAGTATTCCTTTGTGAAAAGCAGGACACTGTGACCCGCTGAGTTATTCCCACTTCATCTCTCAAGTTCAATGGAAAAAGATTGTTGTTTGGTAGAAAACAGTTATTTTTCTCAAAGTACAGATCTACATTTTTCTTTCTAGAAGAAAGAGGTATTTGATTTACGAATGTCCCTGTAAGGGTTTATATCACACTTTCATTATGCCTTGCACACTGTATGTGTTTGTCAGTTGCAGGTTTAATCTGTATCTGACATCTAATATTATCTTTAATAGCATGATTACAGTACAATACTAATGCATAAAAGAGAGAGTATAAAGTGTTACATTCTTCTAATATAGCTGTTCTGAGATACGGCTTTACAAGCACTGGGTAGTTCTAAAGATGAGCAAAATGTATTATCCTTCGACTGTTTGATATCATCTCCTGAACTTTTAAACTGCTGGGACATGTTTCCACAAAGTGAACAGAAATCCATTGATAATTCCTGCACTTCTTTAGTTACCCTTCCTAAAACTCTTAGTAGTTTCCAGATTTCATAAGCCTGTAGATCACACACTGCAAACCTTCCATCACTGCAAAGTATCGAGATGTAAAGCATGGAGTTAAGGGTTAACAATCAAAAGCTGCTGTCACTGTTTCTTTATTCTATAAAATAACATAAATCTTCTTTCCAGTTGCTTCATTGACTTTTACCAGGACTAATTTCTGCCCCACAAGAACTTCACCTTTCAAAAATGCAAAGGTCATGGTAGGAGGAACACATCTTCCAGAAAATGTTCTACTCGTAGAAACATGAAACTGGTTTAATCAGTCCACCAGCCTGATTTTCTTGCTCTAGATTTGTATAAGCCTGAACGATCTGCAGCAGAGCAAGTTGCTAATTGCATCTTGGTGGAAAGTTTGCTTTTATGACCACCTTGAGATTAACTGATAAGATTTTGCTTATATTGACAACAGGTGTGTTGTTTACATGAACTAGGAAGTAGGACAAAGGAAGCATTGATCTTTTCTTAGACTGTTAGGATCATTTCTACCCTAAGAACAACTCTTTCTAACATTTACTTTGCTTTTAAATATAGAGGTTTAGTAGTCATACACATGCCTGTCTTGTATAGAGATTAATCAATTAAGTATTTTCAATATATTTCAATATAAGAAAAAAAAGGCTTGATGTTGAGACATTCATTTATTTCTTTCAGGGGAAAAAAGAATGTCAAAGTTACTGAATCAAACTTTACCAAAATTTGCAGATTTCTATATGCTGTGGTTCCTCAGGGACCAGAGTTCCACTTTCTAGAAATGCTTAAAAGATGGGTAGACATACATCAAAGCTGGTATTAATTACTACTGGGAAAAGAATGCAATGTCTAGGATATGTATGAAAGAAATATAATCAAAACCTCCTACACATCTGTTTTCCACAGCCCTCAAAATTACAGCACAACATATGAAAAAACAGAAAAGTAGCATGCTTGCCTATATGGCACTAGACATGGAGAAAGATCTCCTGAAGAACTTAATCTAACTCCTGATGTTCATAAAATTTCTGAATCCTCCTATTGCTGTCTTAAAATTACCACATTAAGAAGCCACAGGAAAAGGAAAGAAAAAAAAAAAAAGAAGAACAAAAGATTAACAAGAATGAGCTCAGATTTAAATCTTAATAATCTTGCCTAAAGACAAAAGATTTACACTGGGATAAATGAGAGCAGAATTGAGTCTAATTCTCTTCCTAGTGACAGCTAGATAATTAACAGTGTCTCAAATGTGTCGAAGAATGGCTCAAAGCCTCATGACAGGTAGAGTGAATCCAGAGTGACTAGCTGAAAGGATAATTACCTCCCAAGAAGCCATTGGCTTGGTTCCTTTCTCAGTTTACAGAAGAGTAAATCGCAACACTCTGGGAACTAACAAGGCAATAAAGATACAAAAGAATCAAATCCCATGAATTCAAACCTGACAAGAGCTGATGACCAAAGTAGTTCAGAAGCAAAACTCCCCCTGCCCAGGCACACACAGCTTGGTCACGCCAGCACAGGGACCCAACAGGAATCCCCATCGCTGCAGTCCCTCCTGTTCATCCTTACAGCACAGAGTGAAGGGGCACCTGTGCACCAAGGTTATCTGCAGTACAGGAGAGCATTTTGTGCTTATGAAGTCACCCAGCTGGATTGTGACAAATTCCAAACACCATTGGTGTTATGGATTATTTGCATGAGAGAAATTAATAAATACCCAGTCAAGACCAGGCCTGTCGAGCTAGGTATAATAAATATGTCCTTGCAGAGGGTATGAGATGAACTCTCCATGACAGGGTTTACAATTTAGATAGACTAAGTTAAGAATGTGGAGGATTTCAGGATTATGAGGAGAGATTCAAGTGATTTACTCAGAGCAAAGCACACTTTAGGCAAACCTAGAGTACGGCAGATCTGTTGTCGCCTTCCCACCCAGAACAAGACTTTGTCTTTAGCCCTTCCAATCAGTCTTGTGATCCCAGAAGCCCCTCAGGAGCCTTTTCTTACAAATCTCTGTCATCGGCTTACTGGGTTTTGGGGCGGTACTTCCTAGACAAAACCAGCGCAGATGCCCTGCGGAGACAGCCCTGCGGCCTTGTGAATAAGCAGCACATAATCCTCTGACGACTTTACATATCCAGAACCTCACCTGAAGGTACTGCGTTGCCCAAGCTGCCATATTTCTGGAAATCTCAAGTAATTATATAAAATCCTTAAAGTCTGCATGAATAAAATCCCAGATTGGAAAGAGAGGTCTCTATCTGGCTCTTTCAAGACAGGTTCAAAGTCTTATTTCATAAGTATATGCAAATCCCTGAATTTCACGTGTCTCATTGGATCTATCAAGACTCTAGTTGTTTCTAACAACTGATGTCTATACATACAGCAGTGTATTCTATTAAAAAATCTGCATTAGAAAGAAGATTAAAGTGAAAAATCAGGATTTGGGAGTTAGGAAATGCAAGAAATAAGGTTGTCCACACAGTTTTTGGTCAGCTCCTATTTCTGAGACTGCCTTATGTTGTGCCTTTAAGTCATTACATCCCTAACAGTGGAGTTGAAGGATGCCTTATGGTGAATACAGCATATATACTTCAGATTAGAAGAATATGGATTTTATTTACTTCTTACTGCTCAGCTTAGAACACTGAAATTATAACTAAAAATGGGTAAGCTCAGCTGTTCATTTGTTTGATTGTCGAGAGGCAAATTTATTTATTGGGTAATTTTATTGCCCAGAGGTTATTTACCACAACTGATGATATACAATATATTCTGCACACACAGAGAGAGCAACAGCATAAGTAGAGACACTCTTATTTTTTAGGTTTCTTACCTCTGAGTTGACCAAAGCAGCATGGGTACATGGTCCACCGACAGAGACCTTTTGAACAGCACGGCGAGGGTGCCCAGCAGCAGGGCTGGAGCAGCAGAGCAGAGCTGCCTCATGACTCCAGGCAAGCGCCTACGGACTGGCCAGCTGCAAAGGCAAGTCCGAGCGTGTGCACAGCTGCACTTCCCGGTTCAGTCGCAGCTATCTGGATTCAGCCAGGCTGCTGGGCGAGGTTGCTCCCTAACAACAGTGAGAATTTTCAAAACACGGACTTCCTTATCTTGGAGTTGGGAGTGATACATATTTTTAATAACTTTCACATTTGTGATTTAAACAGCTCATAAAACTCTCCACGGTATAAACATAGACAGGTTCCTCTAATGTTCATTCTAGCACAAAGGAGACTCATGCAGTCCAAACTCCTGTTCTACTCTTTTCTAACGCCCTGATAACAGCAGGCTGATAGCAGAATTGCTCAACTTCAAAATGGAGTTTATAGAAAAGTTTTCTGTGCTGCACAAAATGTATTCTGCGGAACTTCTATCTTCTTCCCCTGCTGCATATGATCATGTCCCTCAGCTTAGCTCTTTCTCATGTATTGAGAGCTGGTGTCACACATTTGGGTGTTGACAGGTTTGAAATCTGCAGTAAATCTATCCATTGCAGATTCCAGCAAGAAGGAAGAGAGTGAGAAAATGGTACATTTGGAGTGTATCCACTGAAATATGGAATTGTTCAGCTATCTTTTGCACAGAGCAATGCTATCCCAAAAATCAAAAATATCAAAAGTCAGGAGCAAATTATAATCACTTCAGAACCTGACATGACTTCAATATTTCACAAGTCTCATGCAAGATCAAAATAGTCAGAGAATTTCTTCGTGCTGGGAAGCAAATTTCTCCAGCACACTTTTTTGTTCCTGCCAAGCACTGAGCTGTTTCCACACCTTGTGACTACTTTAGGCAGCAGCAGTCACTCGGCACGCGGCCGGCACAGGGCACGGACGCCTCTTCACAATCAGAACAAGATGTTAGGGATAATACACCAAAAAAAATTGTCAGCTATGTTAAAACAAGTTGTGATAAGGGAAAAATAAGGGCGCAAAATGAAAATTGTAAGACAAGACATAAACAGATGTCAGAAGACATGCACTTGGGAATCTGAGCACACGTAGCTTGATTAATGAAATCCATTTGCCTTAACTCACAGCATGCTGTTACAGTGCTGCTGTCTAATACAAGGCAGTTTATTCATCACTTCAATCTGAAATCAGATTTCTGAGACAAAAATAGTAATTTTGAGGGAAGCAATAAAACCAATCATCTATATATTCTTTTCTTCTCCATGTTACCTATACTTAACACTAAGGTTAACCCTTTAATTGCACTTTTCCCTCTTCTCCTCAGAGACATTTTATAAATCCTTCATTTCCCTTTTCACAAGCCGCTGTTCATCTGTTTAAGGGAGCATACAGGTAAGACAGCAATTCAGAGCACAAAGGCATGGGTAGAACTGGAACACCGCAGAGAGAATTTAGTATGAATTGGAATAGTTCGGTCAACATAAGCAAAATACTCTGTAATTCTAGAAGTAGTTGACTTTTCCATGGTATATTTTCCAGAATGTGAAAGATCTGGTTTCTTGCATAACTGTCCAGACTAGTCTTGCCAATTTTCATGCGCATCTCCTGCCCACAAAGCCAATCGACTGTAACTCTTCCTGTCTGCTTCTTACAATTAACATTTGTATGAGAAATGAAGACAAACTGAAACTCAGCATTGTATAAATCAAGAGTGTACAATGTGGTTGTCCACCAAATACTAAAGGAATTGCAGAATTTCCAGCAAAACTTGTGATTTTGCAGAACCTACTAGATTTGCATTGCAGCTGGCACTCTAAACAAATCTCCTGAATACTTCTACACTTTCTTGTATTTCACTAAGCCCATGCCTTCTCAGGTTGTGATGCTTTTCATTCTTTAGCTTGCACAATGCAGAGATCCTTGCTTTGCGAAACAGAGCAAGAAAGTAGCATATCTTACTATTCTTCTAACATGAATCAATGAAGAGTAGGTTCTAGCGGGCCTCCTCCATTACTAACACAGTTGATAAACACTACCAATGCTGCCAGGACTTCCACATCAGAATAAGCCTTCAACCACCTGATCGGAATGTATGGAAATCAAGACCAACAAATACATAGTGTACAAATACGTGTTGTAACCTGATAGGTACCTCACGACAGGAGCCAATGTTTCATTACTAAATATTTGACAACTCCTTACTTTTAATGGGTGACTCGTGCTCAAGCCTATTATCACAGAGCATTTTCATAGGGCTAAAGCATTTACACCATTTCAAAAGTTCCATCCCTGGCATGTGAAACTTCTTTTACAAGACCACACTCAAAGGCTGACACCCTGGATGATTCCTGGCTTAAGCTTAAGAAGGTTAATGAAAACAGAAGAGAAGTTAGTATAAGGGAGAAAACTATGAAAGAAATTGTCCTTGTCTCTTCCCAGCTGGTAATATCTCAAAAACTGATTATGCCTTGGTTTGAGCTGAATCTTTTGGAGGGCATTTGCAGACGCTAACCAAATCACACGCAAGCGAGGAGCACAGCGGGTAATACTCTCCGTATTCTGCCTTATCGAAACAGTCTTAAAACTTTTTGAAACACAACTAGATTGTTTTCTCTCAGATTACCATATTACTTATGAACAAACTTTTAACTGAAAATAAAATGAATTTTCTTTTTTTAATATTTCTCCACAAACCACAGTTGGGGAACAACTGAAGTGAAGAAAGCTCTGAAAAAAAGGAATGAGAAGAACCCATTGATTGGGATTTTAATTTGCCTCCCTCAGTAAATTTGGCTTACAAATGCATCTGCATATATTTGCTCCTTTTTTTTTTTTCACTCTTAAAAATAAAGATTTCTTGCCAAACTATAAGAAAAAAATACACTTACTGCAAAGAGAGATTTTTCAAAAGATTCCTTTCATTCATTTAATTAAAATGAGATGAGATTGCAAGGTATCTTTTATCTTATACCTAAACCCACTTTTGATTCATGTCTGTCAGTACACACAAAAGCACACACAGTTGACGTGCATTTTCCACACGATTATTTCCTTGAAAACACATAGGTGATCTTGAGTCCAGGTTTATAGCTGCTTGCACATGAAGATTTTTTAAACACAACACAAAATCAAAATACTGAAACTCAGACTACTGTGAAATCATTATGAAACTGCAACGAATAAAAATATGCCTCCATTACCATATATTTCCACTTAACTAAAATAATTTTATTGAGACACTATAATATTGACATAACTTGTATTTACATTCTACTCCTATCCATTTCTCTGGATTTTTATGTGTTTTCTTCTACAACTGTATGCATATCACATATCCCATGTATTTCCTATTCTGTCAAAGTTGAAATATGGGACTTATAAAAAACAATGGGGAGAAAAGACCAAGATAATGAAGGCTTAATTTCTTTAAAAAAAGAAGAAAGAAAAAAATCCTCTCAATTTCAGACTTCTACATTCCTGACGTAAATAATTTTAAATAAAAAGACGTGCGAATGCCAGACTGATGTGGAATGAAGGTAAATTTAGGACTGTAAGTCAGGCTAAAAGGGATGACTACTGTAACAACGACGATTTACAGTGCAAGATAAGCCAAAAGAACTATCTATAGACAGGTGATGAAAATAAGTCCCACTCATTTTGCATGCAGATGTGATTCTTGAGCAATAAGTTTGGGAGCTAACACGGTACTACAGCAGCATATTAAAGAACCTCCTCCCTCAGCTCAGATAATGGACATATTCAAATTCAGGCTCTTTAAAAAAATACGTAATAATTAAAATAATCCAATATTTGGATGATATTTTTCTTAATCTCAATCACTGTTAGTAATTCATTTTATATTTTATTTTATTCAATATTTATTTATCCAGTAAATCTCAATTTACTGTTAGTAAAATAATTTCCTATCTAAAAAGTGTTTTCCACATGCCAAATATCGGTCAGCAACTACTTTACTACCCTCATGTATTTAATTTATAATCCTTTTTATCACTTTTTACAATCACTTTATGAGCTAAGAAGGGCATTAATGCTTTGTTTATTGGGACATCTTTCTGGGATGAGGAGGTGGAGGGAGCAATTACTCTGAGTTTCTTTGAGACATAAATGGGGAAAATTACATTCTGGAAAAAGCATGGACTTTCCTCTTGGAAGTAGGGAGGCAAAACGTGTGGTGTTCTTTGCCAAATTAACATATTACCAACTTTTGCATGTGGGAAGAAATCTGGAACTTTTCCCTCTGGAAATGTATTACCAGTGGTGTTGGAGGTGGGTAGAAAACAAAGTTTTTCTTCATGCTTGAAGAGTCCTGTGAGGTAAGCTGCAGATGTTACTTGGCCGTGTGTCTCTGCTAGTGTGAAAGGAGAAATAGAAGCCATGCAGACCAATCCCCTTTTCCTGATAGTGAGTATCTGCATCTGGGAAAGAACTGGGGCAAACCCAGCACTACTCACCAGTGTTTCAGGAGTGTAGACTTCTCATGATCTCAACCTCTAAGCTACAATTTAAGAGACTTTATAAGCCTATCACTTTAGCCACTTCTCAGAAGTGAAGAGAGAAGGTTAGAATTTCACCTTAGTCTATTCTCTTTTGAAGAAGCGCTGACACTGCAATCATTTGTTCTCATTATCCTGGGAAGATCTAGGCTCCAAATCAGAAGCCTTTTTACCAGTAGATTCCAAAACCATCTTGTAAATAACTCTCTGAAATTCAAGGAAAGATGGTCAGCTGTGCTTTTAAAGAATTCATAGAATCATGGAATGGTTTGGGTTGGAAGGGACCTCAAAGATCATCTAGTTCCAACCCCCCTGCCATGGGCAGGGACACCTTCCCCTACATCAAGTTGCTTAAAGCCTCATCCAGCCTGGCCTTGAACACTTCCAGGGATGGGCCAGCCACAACTTCTCTAGGCCACATCTTCTAGTGTTTCACAACCCTCAGAGTGAAAAATTTCTGCCTTAGATCTCATCTAAATCTAGCTGGTTTTAGTTTAAAGCCATTGCCCCTTCTCTTATC